CTGCTGAAAATTGACCAGAACATGTTACAAAGGACCTCTACTATATAGCTTGTTTTGTATTACACTCTGTGATTAAACAAGAAACCATGGTAGAAATACCATTGGTGGATTAATTTATTAGTTAATGGAAAAAGATCTGCATGCCTTTATATGCCTGAAAGTGTCCTCGTTTTTGAGAATTCCAAGTTGAAAAATATACTCTTCCTGGTCTCAAAGAGCTTATCCTCATAAGGAAAGATATAAAAATATACCTACCATAGGACTTAAAGGACCCATATCACAAATATATACAAGGCAGACAGATCATAAAGGGGTTCTGTGCAAGTTCATGTGAGAGTGTCAGCACCCTGGATTTCACTGAGCAGATAAAACTTTCAGTGCTTAAATATAAATAGTAGTTTCTTTGCAAATATGCGGCAAAGCTGCAAGAAATGTTAAGAAGACCTGAAAAAACATGTGGCAAGTCAATGGACTGTACAACAGGACAGGAGAGCAGGTCTGAACGTGTGATGAGATACAGGCTGCAGAGGCAGGGGCAAAAGGTTCAGGGGAGGAAACTAGGGAATATATTTGGCTTCAATTCTGTTGGTGATCTCCAAATATTTCATCACTCATCTAATCCATAAAATTCTTGAGGAACCACCAGTTTTATTTATATTTAATCTATAAATTAAATACTGTCAATTCACATATGAGGAGAGCTTAATTCTGTTCTTACTTTTCAGATAAAAATGTAAATAAACAAGCTAATATTTTCTTCCCATGCCCTAAAGGACTGACAGTATATGATGTATGCAGAATTATCTTGCACACTCCCTTAGGGCACAGCCTCTCTCTCTCCCCCATCTCTGCTCACCCTAGGTCATTGCTGTGAACAGCATGAAGCCAATACTGAAATGGAAATACACACTTCCGTCCTAGTTATATCAACTAATTGTTGCCGAGGAAGCAGTGATCCCAAAGTTGGTTTTTTTTTTCAAGTGAATCATTTAATGTGTGAGGCTCAGTTTGATATTACCGTAAGTATTAACAAAAGAAAATGGGAAAGTATAAACATTTCCCCTTCTATAAAAAATGGCTTTGATGCCAGGATAAACTAGCCTGTTGATTTAACATAGCTGATTAAAAAGGCTAGAGAATCTGGAAGTAAAAAATGTACTTGGAAGCAACGTCCTCTGAGGCTTCATTCTCCTGAGGGCAGCAAAATGCTGAAAATTTTAACTGGCTCAAAAATTATATTGAGAGATCAAAAAGAAGAGCTAGTCACAGCTTGGGAAAAAATTTGGAGAACAGATGACACTAAATGTATTTAGATTAATAATTCCAAAGTTTCCCTGGAGTTATAATATAGCACTCTGAGCTAACCAAAGGGGCTATAAACTCATGCTCCTTTGAACAGAGTGGTTCTAAATGACAGATTCTCAAGTGCACCCAGCTGTATTTTCAAGTATAATTCTAGTATTTGTACCTAGCAATACAGAAGAAAAAGCAGCAGGGAGGAAGTGTCAGGTATATAGGACATGAAAGGATTTGGCAGCCCTAGAATTCCCAGTTAGAATCTCTGTCATCAGGAAAATCCCATTCCAGCTCCGTCCAAGGTGAGGCTGGAGGTGGTGCTGTGGATGGCCTGTGACAAGCAGGAGGCAACAGTGTAAGTGCTAAACTCTGGCTTTCTTCCTTCATCTTCTAAAGAAATGCAAAATAAGGCTGTATGAAGAAAACATGGGATAATACACTGCTTGCTGATGGCCTTTTCTCAGGATCTTGTTGCAGACAGAGCTGTGCCAAGCTAAGGAAGGCAGGAGAGAATGTTTTTGAGGGCAGTGTTTGCAATCTGTCACTATTTACTGTGCAAGTTTCACTGGAGACGTGTACACTTTCTCCAATCCCAGAGTCTACACCTGATTGGGAACTTTTCATTCTGGATTCTGATTGAGGGAAAATACTGATATCCAATGGGCTCTAAGGAGGACCTTTCAGTTTCTGTAACAACATCAGAGTCCTGTGCATGTCCTGGAAAGGTACCTGCCCACTGGCCAATTCACATGCTGTAATCCCAATGCTGTAAATATCTGTGCTGGATCGCCTCTATTAAGAGGGGAGTCGCCTATAGTATTAGCGGAGATGCTAAACAGGGAACTTGCTGAGCAAAGGGAGAGAGGAAGAGTTACTCCCAGAGGGTCTGCATGATCTGCCTTGGAGGTTCTGGAAACCTCTTGTCAAGTCTGGGGAAACAGGAGGAAGAGCAGGGTAGATGCACAGTGACAATGAAACAGATGCTAGACATACAGTATGCCAGATATCTTCAGAACATGGAAGTAGAAATATCAACTGGAAGTTTGGATAGATGAATCTGGAATTTAGAAGTGTAGTATGAAAATAAGGATTTGGGTGAAAATCGCAACTCTGTCACTGGAGTCACCAGAGTGAATCAGATGGTCACAGAAGAGACAAATTGAGGAAAGAAAAAATACCAGCACAGAATTTGAGGGATCATCAATATTTGAGAGGCTGGAAGAAAAAAGAAAAATAGGCTATGAAGGCTGAGAAGAAATTTTCTGAAATGTAAGAACAGAACCAGATGACAAGAGAATAGTGGGAAATAATAACACAGTTTCACAAATAACTGACACTTCCAATTAAAGTTGCTGGACTTAAAACACATCTATCTCTGATGCCTCTCCCAACAATATAAGTGGAAGAAACAATAAAAAGTAAAACAAATAAATGTGCCAATAACAGAATACACCAGAAAGACAATTTTATGCAACTTCTGGATGATATAAGTGGATAGTGTCAGACAAAAGAAACTAGAAGCATGGTACCTACAATTTATACAAGCACAGAAGTGGGCAGAAGCAGCGGCTTACAACCACAGCCAGAGACTACCAATCTCTAAGCCCTCCAACCAGGGCCAGGGGTTAGCATAGGTGCTAAGATGAATGACTGGCTAAGTAACTCACTGACAAAGTAACTGACTCCTAGGGCACCTTGGTGGACCTCTGCTCTTTGGAGATCCAGCAGTTAATGAAGACCAAAGCTGAAGTGCAGGCATTATATAAAGTCAGGACACTTTTTTTTTAAAAACATATCTGTATACAGTTGGCCCTCCATATGCACAGGTTCCACATCCACAGATTCATCCAACCACAGAATGAAAATATTTGGGGGAAGAAAAACTCCAGAAAGTTCCAAAAAGCAAAATTGAATTTGCCACATACCAGCAATTATTTATATAGAATTTACATTGTATTTACAACTATTTACATGGCATTTACATTGTATTAGGTATTATAAGTAATCTAGAGACAGTTTAAAGTGTATGAGACGATCTACCACAAAGGAGGTGAGAATATACAATGGGGAAAAGACAGTTTCTTGCTGGTAAAACTGGACTACTTTCTCACACCATAAAAAATAAACTCAAAATGAATTAAAGACTTAAATGTAAGACCTGAAACCATAAAAATTCTATAAGAAAACATACGCAGGGGGGACTTGCCGGTTCAAGCCCTGGTCCGGGAAGATCCCACATGCCTTGGAGCAACTAGGCCCACGTGCCACAACTACTGAGCCTGTGCTCTACAGCCTGCGAGCCACAACTACTGAAGCCTGTGCACCTAGAGCCCATGATGCTCCACAAGAGAAGCTACTGCAACGAGAAGCCTGCACACCGCAACAAAGAGTAGCCCCTGCTCAACACAACTAGAGAAAGCCGGCACACAGCAATGAAGACCCAATCAGACAAAAATAAATAAATAAAATTAATTTTTTAAAAAAAGAAAGAAAACATACACGGGATTTTCCTGGCAGTACAGTGGTTAGGAATCTGCATTTCCATTGCAGGGGGCATGAGTTCAATCCCTGGTCAGGGAACTAACATCCTGTAAGCTGTGCTGTGTGGCAAAAACAAACAAAAAATAGGCTCTCTGAACAAACATGTGGACACCAAGGGGGGAAAGTGGCAGGGGGTGGTGGTGGTGTGATGAATTGGGAGATTGGGATTGACATGTATACATTAACATGTATAAAATGGATAACTATTAAGAACCTGCTGTATAAAAAAATAAATAAAATTCAAAAATAAATAGGTTCTGACATCGATCTTAGCAATGGTTTGGATATTCTGCTCAGGCAAGGGAAACAAAAGCAAAAACTACCCAGTGGGACTATGTCAGACTAAAAAGCTTTGTACAATGAAGGAAACTATCAACAAAATGAAAAGGCCACCTAATGAATGGGAGAAGACATTTGAAAATGGTTGTCTCCAACAAGGGGTTAACATCCAAAATATACAAAGAACTCACACAATTTGACATTGGAAAAACAATCCAATTAAACCCAGGCAAGGAACTGAACAGACATTTATCTAAAGAAGATATACAGATGACCAATAGACACATAAAAAGATGCTCAACATCAATGATCATCAGGGAAATGCAAATCAAAACAACAATGAGATATCACCTCACATCTGTCAGAATGGCCATTACCAAAAAGAAAACAACAAGTGTTGGTGAGGATATGAAGAAAAGGGAACCCTTACACGCTGTTGGTGGGAATGTAAACTGGTAAAGCCACTAAGGAAAACAGTATGGAGAGTCCTCAAAAAACTAAAAACAGAACTACCATACAACCCAGCAACTCCATTTCTGGCTATTACTGGCTATTTATCTGAAGAAAATAAAAATGCTAATTTGAAAAGATATCTGCTCACTCCCCCCACATGTTCACTGCAGCATCATTTACAACAGCCAAGATATGGAAGCTACCTAACTGTTCATCAACAGATGAATGTATAATGAAAATGTGGTATGTGTGTGTGTATACATACACACAAACACATACACGTGTACACAATGGAATATTACTCAGCCATAAAAAGAATGAAGTCTTGCCATTTGTGACAACATGGGTGTACCTAGAGGGTACTGTGCTAAGTGAAATAAGTCAGGCAGAGAAAGACAAATACTGCATGATTTCACTTATTTCTGGAATCCAAAAAACAAAACAAATGAACAAATATAACCAAACAGAAACAGAGTCATAGATAAAGAGAACAAATAGGTGGTTGTCAGAGGGGAGGTTGGTAGGGGAAGGAGAGAAATAGGTGAGGGAGACTAAGAGGTGCAAACTTCCAGTTAACAAAATAAAAGAGTCACAGGTATAAAATGTAGAGTGTGGGGAACATAATTATATAATATCTTCATATAGTAACAAATGACATATTACTGGTGATCATTTTGAAATGTATAGAAATGTAGAATCACTGTGTTTTATACAAGGAACTAAAATAGTGCTGTAAGTCAATTATACTTCAAAAACAAACAGACCAACTCATAGAAAAAGAGATCAGATTTGTGGGTACTAGAGGTGCGGAGGAGGGGGAAGGGGAATTAGATGAAGGTAGACAAAACCTACAAACTTTCAGTTTTAAGGTGATGTAATGTACAACATGATAAAGATAAGTAACACTGCTGTCTGTTATAAATGAAAGTTAAGCCAGTAGTAAATCCTAAGCATTCTCATCACAAGGAAAAAAAATTTTTTTCTATTTCTTTAGTGTTGTACCTATATGAGACGATGGATGTTCAAAACACTAACTGAACACAAACTAAAGGAACAGAAAATTCAGTGACCACAGATAAGAAATGCAGGCTTTGCAAACAAACAAAAGCAGTCTGGAAAAGTCATCTGGATAACTGTAGTCTTCAACAATCAAGAACAGCAAAATTTGGAGAAGAGCAAGAAAGTAATTTCTAAAATTACATTGTGATACACAAATAGTCCAGTTTGAACAACAAAATCACAAAGAAACAAAAACACAAAGAAACAAAAAAGTATGGCCCAATCAAAGGAAAAATATAAATTGACAGAAATGTCCCTGAGAAGACCAGACATTGAACTTCCTAAACAAAGGCTTTAAGTCAACTGTATTAAATATGCTCTAAAAAAATAAGTGAGGTAGGAGTCAAGATGATGGAGTAGGAGGACGTGGAGTTCACCTCCCCCGCATCTGGGATTCCCTCAGTTTTTCCCTCAGTGGTTCTCTTTAGTTGGGCTGAACACTAGCAGAGGTCCTGAGACACCTAAAAGGACAAGAAAGAACCCCATGTAACCACATAGGACCAAAGGAAAAAAAAAGCCCAGAAAAAGGATGGACTGCACCCTTGTTGCGTAGCTAAAGGAGAGCAGAGGTTGCCACACCCGAGAGCCCCCTCAACAGTGGCGAGATCAGTTGGGACAAAAGGGGAGCTTCAGGGGCTTGGAGGAGAGAGCAGCAATCTGTCTGTGGCAAGCAGGACAGAGAGACCTATAAAGGTGGTCTGTGCCACAGCCCTGTGCATCCCAGGCTGAGGTGTGTCCACCAGTACAATGGGGGCTGAGTGCTGGAACAGGGTGCTTGGAGAACAGATCCGAAAAGAGGACTGCTATTGGCTGCAAGGAAACAACGTGAAGGGGTAGGATTGAGGAGCTCCGTAACTGGGAATGCTCAGGGAAACAGCCCAGGCTGCCATAGACGTGAAGCATCATTGTTGAGTGACACACAGAGAGCAGGGCTGCTACTGTTGCCTCTTTCCCCACGTGCTGGCTGCTTCTTCCACAGGCACTGGGAGGGGCTCCTGCCAGAGCGGGCTTGTGTGCCCCTGGTGGCCGCCTCCGGCCCTCCCACCTAGGCGGGCACGCATGGCACAGTCAGTGGCCACCTCTACCCGCTCCTGCCTGGGCAGGCTCATGAGCCCCTGGTTGCTGCCTCAGCCCCCTCCCACCTGGGAGGGCTTCATGTGCTCCAGGGCAGCCCCAGGAACAGATGCTTGTGGGTAGCCCAAGTGCAGAGGTGAGGCTGAAACCACAGCAGAGCCCCAGGAGCCATGCAACTAAGAAAGAAGAGCTGAAATCTCCTCCCACTGTGTGAATTGTGGAATTACACCCCCACGACTGGCTTTGTAAACTCAGCACCTCAGGAACATCTGAAGGGACAACAAGTGTTCCTGCAGCTGTGATGGGTCTAGCTTTAGCAGCCGTGGACTTTGTGAGCAAGTACACGTGGGAGATTAGCCAGGCCAGAGTCTGCGTTGCCTCCACAGCGCCCACAGCGGTTCCAGATGCATGATTACTGCAGTCCTGGGAACTGACCTCAGTGGATCTATGCTGGTGGCCTGGTGAAAACAATGCCTGAGAGACACGAGGGCCAATTGCTGGCATACCCATGGTTAAGGTGGGGCTGAAAGCAGTGCCAACGAGATTGGAATTTGTGAGCTCGGACAACGGGTGAAAGGTGACGCAGCAGAGCATGCTCAGAAGGAAACACATGCAGAGGAGGTGTACTCAGTGGCTTCTCTTCCAGTGGGAGTGGTCCAATACAGCCTACCTTGCACCACAGATCAGACACACAGCTAAGAAACAGACTGGGGCCCTCTTCAACAACAACTAGGGAGCAGACCCCGCCCCCGACAGGGCAGTGACAACCACAGAGCAAAGAGGAGGCCCTGCCCAATACCCAGTGAAGGATCTGGTCACTAAAACATCAGTCACACCTCTTACCAAGGTGATAAGCATAAGCTGAAGAAAAACATGGCAGACACCCAAAATGAAAACAGCCCTTGGACCAAAAAATATTAAACCCATGCAGGCTACATGGACTTTCTCACATAAAAATAGTCCTGTGGGGCTTCCCTGGTGGCATAGTGGTTAAGAAACCACCTGCCAATGCAGGGGACACGGGTTTGAGCCCTGGTCTGGGAAGATCCCACATGCTGCGGAGCAACTAAGCCTGTGCGCCACAACTACTGAGCCTGCATTCTAGAGCCTGTGAGCCACAACTATTGAGCCTGCATGCAACTACTGAGGCCCGTGTGCCTAGAGCCCGTGCTCCACAACAAGAAAAGCTACTGCAATGAGAAGCCCGCACACTGCAATGGAGAGTAGCCCCCGCTCACCACAACTAGAGAAAGCCCGCATGCAGCAACGGAGACCCAGTGCAGCCAAAAATAAATACATAAAATAATTAAATTTAAAAAAATAGCCCTCCAAGACAGTCTGAGGGTTTGACAGTGGGAGGAAAAACCCCTAGATCATTTAGCCTTGAAGGCCAGCAGGGCTTGAGTGCAGGAGCTCCACAGGGCTGGGGGAAACAGACGCCACTCTTGGAGGGCGTGCACACTAGGCCTCATATGCACTGGGACACAACACAAAGCAGTATCTCCAAAGGAACCTGGCAGACCTATCTAGGGGTCTTGGAGGGTCTCCTGGGGAGGCAGGGATCGATTGTAGCGCACTGTGGGGGCAAGGACACTGGCAGTGGAGGCCCCAGGGAATAGTGATCAGCGTGAGCACTCCTGGAGGTCCCCATTTTGGCACCAAGACCTAACCCCACCCAACAGCCTGAAGGCTCCAGTGCTAGAAAGCCTCAGGTCAAACAACCAGCAAGATAAGAGCACAGCTCCACCCATCAGCAGACAGGCTGTCTAAAGTTGTACTGAGCTCACAACCATCTCAAAACCAACCCTTTAACACGGCCCTGCCCACCAGAAGAACCAGACCCAGCTCCACCCTCCAGACAGCAGGCACCAGTCCCTCCAATGAGGAAGCCTGCACAAAGCCCCTAGACCAACCTCACCCACCAGGGGTCAGACACCAGAAGCAAGAGGAACGACTATCCCGAAGCCTGCAGAAAGGAGACCACAAGCACAGAAATTTAGACAAAATGAGAGGACAGAGAATATATTACAGACAAAGGAACAACCTAAAAACCCAAAGAAGAACTAAATGAAAAGGAGATAGACAAGCTACCTGAAAAAGAATTCAGAGCAATGATAGTAAAGATGACCCAAAATCTCGGAAAAAGAATGGAGGCACAGACTGAGAAGATACAAGAAATGTTTAACAAAAAGCTAGAATACTTAAAGAACAAACAGAGATGAACAACACAATAACTGAAATGAAAACTATACTAGAAGGAATCAATAGCAGAATAACTGAGGTGGAAGAATGAATAACTGAGCTGGAAAACAGAGTGGTGGAAATCACTTCCACAGAGCAGAATAAAGCAAAAACTAATGAAATGAGGACAATCTCAGAGACCTCTGGGGAAATATTAAATGCACCAACAATTGCATTATAGGGTCCCAGAAGAAGAAGAGAAAGAGAACTGGCCTGAGAAAATATCTGAAGCGATAACAGCCTAAAACTTCCCTAACATGGAAAAGGAAACAGTCACCCAAGTCCAGGAAGTGCAGTGAGTCCCATCGGAGATAAACACAAGAAGGAACATGCTGAGACACGTATTAATCAAACTAACAAAAATTAAATACAAAGAAAAAAACCTTGAAAGCAAAAAGGGAAAAGCATCAAATAACATAAAAGGGAATCCTCACAAGGTTATCAGCTGATTTCTTAGCAGAAACTCTACAGGCCAGAAGGGAGTGACACAATATATTTGAAGTGATGAAAAAGAGAAACCTAAAGCCAAAAATAGTTGACCCACCAAGGCTCTCATTCAGACTTGATGGAGAAATCAAAAGCTTTACAGACAAGCAAAAGCTACAAGAATTTAGCATCACCAAACCAGTTTTACAACAAATGCTAAAGGAACTTCTCTAGACAGAGTAAAAAGAAAAAAGAGGCCACAACTAGAAATAAGAAAATCACAAATGGGGAACCTCACCAGTAAAGGGAAGGATACAGTAAAAGTAGAAAATCATCCACACACAAATATGATATCAAAACCAGCAACCATTAGAAGAGGAGAGTACAAATTCAGGAAAAGGGGATTGCGTTTGAAGTTAAGAGACCAGCAACTTGAAACAATCTTATATAGACTACTATATCAAAACCACATGGGAACTGCAACCAAAAAACTACAATACATACACACACAAAAAGAAAAAGCAACCCAAACATAACACTAAAGAGAGTCATCAAACCTCAAGAGAACAAAACAGAAAGAGAAGAAAGTAGACCTACAAAAACAAATCCAAAAATATTCAGAAAATGGCAATAGGAACAAACAAATCAGTAACTACCTTAAATGCCAGTGGATTAAATGCTCCAACCAAAAGATAGAGACGGGCTGAATGGATGCAAAAACAAGACCTGTATATATGCTGTCTACAAGCGACCCACTTCAGATCTAGGGACACGTACAAACTGAAAGTGAGGGGATGCAAAAAGATGTTCCATGCAGATGGAAATCACAAGAAAGCTGGAGTAGCAATAAGCATATCAGACAAAATAGACTTTAAAATAAAGACTAGGGCTTCCCTGGTGGCGCAGTGGTTGAGCGTCCGCCTGCCGAAGCAGGGGACACGGGTTCATGCCCCGGTCTGGGAAGATCCCACATGCCGCAGAGCGGCTGGGCCCGTGAGCCATGGCCACTAAGCCTGCGCGTCCAGAGCCTGTGCTCCGCAATGGGAGAGGCCACAACAGTGAGAGGCCCCCGTACTGCAAAAAAAAAAAACCAAAAAACAAACAAAAAAAACATTTAAAATAAAGACTGTTAAAAGAAAAAAGAAGGACACTACATAAGAAGAAGATATAACAATAGCAAATATATATGCACCCAACAAAGGAGCACCTCAATATATAAGGCGAATGCTAACAGCCATTAAAAAAAAAAGAAATCGACAGTAACACAGTAATAGTGGGGGACTTTAATACCCCACTGTCATCAATGGACAGATTATCCAGACAGAAAATCAATATGGAAACACAGCCTTAAATTACATATTAGACCAGATGGACTTAATTGATATTTAGAGAACATTCCCTCCCAGTGCAGCAGAATACACTTTCTTCTCAAGTGTACAAGGAACATTCTCCAGGATACGTCACATCTGGGGCCACAAATCAAGCCTCATTAAATTCAAGAAAACTGAAATCAGAGCAAGCATCTTTTCTCACCAGAACACTATGAGACTAGAAATCACTTTTAGGCAAAAAACTGTAGAAAACACAAACACTTGGAGGCTAAACAATATGTTACTAAACAACCAATGGGTCACTGGAGAAAGTGAAGAGGAATTCAAAGAATACCTAGAGACAAATGACAACAAAAACATGATGACCCAAAACCTTTGGGACGGAGCAAAAGCAGTTCTAAGAGGGAAGTTTATAGCAATACAATACTACCTCAGGAAACAAGAAAAATCTCAAACAACCTAACCTTACACCTAAAGCAACTAGAGAAAGAAGAACAAACAAAACCCAAAGTTAGTAAAAGGAAAGAAATCATAAAGATCAGAGCAGAGATAAATGAAATAGAGATGAAGAAAACAATAGAAAGGAGCCACAGAGGTCCACATTTGTTCAGTGGGTTAAAGGACATGGAATGGAAAACCTTGAGGAGGAAGAAACGAAAGTTCTGTGCCAGAATGGTCATACTTATAAGACATTTCCATACTATAACCATTTTTTGTGTGTGCATTTTATTCCTCACTATTATACATACAGTTGACAATAAGTACTTTTTTGAAATATCTAGTCATTCTAGATGTTCTGAAGTGCCTGATACATGTTAAAAGTAGAGGTAATAAAAAGACATTTTGTAAATATCTTTTTGTTAAAATTCATATGAAATATTGTTCTTTATTTGGAGGGGGGGCAAGCTTGGCCAAACCACCTCTTTGAACAGTATGCATTGCGTTTGTGCTCTGGTTCAAGGTCGGGTGGAGAGAAAGAAGTGCAGAGACCTCTGTGCCGGTGTATTTATAGTGAGGCAAGATTAACTACTGTCTTTTTTATGTTCATGCATTTTGTTTCACTTTGCTGTGTATAAAGTGTATATGATGGACAAATGAGTCCTAATTTACAACATCTAGTCTTTCTAAATGTTATAAAGGTTGCCAGAATATGACAAAAATAGGGTTAGTAAATAATACATTTTGTTTTAAAATTTCTAGGAAAGACTGTCTTCTGAAAATGGGCATTATAGCTCTCTGGATTGGTGGAGATGGGAGAGAAGGGAAGGGGGTTGGTCTTAGGCTAGAATGCACATATACTGAAGACACTTTCAGATTATAACTGTCACATGTGTGCAGTTTATTCAAGACTGCTCTGTACATAGTGGACAAATTAAGTCCTTATTTGAAACATCTAGTCCAGCTATATATTTAGAAGTGCCCAACGTATGGCAAATGTAGAGGTAGTAAAATATTGCTCT